ACAATCCTTACTGCTCCAGTTTTCTCTTGGGATTTTGAGCATGCACACATCCATGACTGGAGTGATTTTCAAGCTGCTGATCCAGAATTTGAACCATGGTGGGCCATGTGGAAATTCAGGACCTTAACCACCACGCCACCTGCTGACCCTGGTATTTTGTCATCTTATTTTAGGATATGTTTGAGACTTGTAATGAACCTTTTTTGTCAGAGCTCATGTCTTGTTTTGTGAAATGGTCTTTATTATTTTTTGAATAGTTCCTGTAATCAATTTCATTCTGTCTGGAGCTTGTATCAGACGTAGGGGCAAAGGAATTTGCCCTTTCTCTCTAAAGATTCATCGAAAATCATTTATAATAGGCAGATTAATAAGAAAAAAAGATATACACATTTTATTTAATGTATACATGTGTAATGAGAGCTATGGAATATATGAACCCAAAGAAGAACCATATGGTTGAGGCTTAATAGAGAGGAGTCAAATGGAAGGTACAGAAGGCAATTTTAGAGTAAACGATTTTTTAGAGGGGAGATAGTGGGTCCAATGCTCATATAGTGGTGAGTAAGTGATTCTGTTTGAGAATGGAATAGGCCTGGAAGATAGACAGTAGCTTTGACAAGACCTGTCTAGGTCTCTTGTCATTCCTTAATCTTCCCTCCTATAATATGAGTTTAGTTTATGAAAGCCTGGGGAGGGGGCAGAGCAATTATTTTCCTCCTTTGGTGGGTCCAGATTTGGGGGCAGGTAATGGAATATCAGAGTAAAGATCCTCCTACCACTTCAGGAGAACAAGAGGATCAAAATGATTGAGAGACAGGAAAGAGAAGTCAGAGAGAGAAATCAATTCTGAGTTTGTTTCTCATTTTAGAATAGTTTTGTAATCAAGTGCATTCTGGCATGCCTTCAAAATGTCAAAGCTGAATTAAAACCAAGACCCAGGGGCCAGCAGGTGGCATAGTGGCTAAGGTGCTGGACTCCTACATGGTCAACTGGGTATATATGTATGTGTGCCCCAAATCCCAGGAAGAGAATGGAAGAGAAGGGATTGTGGCAAGGACATACCCCTGACTGGTGATTTCCACTTCCCCTCTCACTGTCTTTCTCCCCTAAAAACAAAACAAAACAAAACAGCCAAGACCCAATACAGACATATTTTAGAATGTCTGGGTTTATCTTTCCTGCCTCGTATTTTCCCTTAATTCTTTTAAATATTTCTTGTCTTCTGCCTTGCATTCTAAAGGATTTTCTCAACTAAGTTTCTTACTTTCTAATTCTTATGCTCTACACATTCTGCAGAGGAGTTGCTGGTTCTCTGCCAACATCCATTCTTCCGCTCATCCTCTGTAGGAAAGCATTCTTTAGGCACATGGCTACCCCCTCTGAAGACCACAATTCATACCCCCCTTTGTAGATCCATGAGGCGGATAACTAAGATCTGCACAGTGAGATCCGAGGGGCCGTGATGTGAGTCATTTCTAAGCATTGCTCCTAGAGCGCTCTTAGTTCCTTCCATCATTTCAACTGCTGGAAGATGATGGAAAATGGACCGGCCAACCGGGACAGACAAGTAGGAGAGCATTGGTTAAATATGGCAGAGGTTTCTGATCAGGCCTAAACTTTTTGCCAATTCCTGCTTTATTATGTGAGAAAGAAATAACTTTTGTGTTCTTTCCTTCTATATTTATTTATTTTGAGAATTAATTTCCTTTTTTTTTCTGTCAGAAAGCTTCTTGAGAGAGACAGAGAGAGACAGAGAGAGAGAGAGAGAAAGAGAGAGAGGGGAGAGAGAGAAGGGAGACAGAGAAACATAGAAAGTACTTCCTAATGGGGTATGGTCAAGGTGTATCCTTTTTCCTCCATTCCCCCTTCCCATAGAGATTTTACATATGCATATACAGACCCCTCCAGCATATTTTTCCAGCTACTTGGACTGCAATTTGAACTGCAATTGGCCATGTGAGACCCAGATCCCTTAACCACTGCTCTGTGGGGCTGCCTCTGTGTTTAAACAACTGTATTTTGCTGTCTTTAGTAAGCTTAACAAGTTTTATAGCACCTAAGGTAATACATATTCATTATTTTTTGGATGTATATATATTTAAAGTTTATTTATCTCATGAGAAAGAGAGACTGAAAGAGAGAGGTACAGAGAGACAGGTATCCCAGTAGTTTTCTTATCTCCGTGATAAACCCCAAGTCTCAGTCAGTCTAGACCATACACACGTGTGTGTATTCATGAGGTGTTCAGGGAGGTCCTAGGATTTTTCTCACGTGGGTCTAACCGCATCACCTCATGTCCACTTAGTTATTTTTTTTTAATTTCAAAAATAACATTGCGCCAGCTCTTTGTTAATTCTTTTATATTGATTATTTTATACTTCTAACCTTTCCTCTATCTCTAGAAATGTTGACTGTATCTAGTCTGGTCTTATCTTTTGTTTCGTTTACTCTAGTAAAATGATTCTAAAAATTTAGTATCATTACCTGGAGCATCTATTAAAATACACAATACTGTGCTTTGTTCTAGCATTTCTGACTTAGAAACTCTAGAGAGAGGTCTGAGAATTTGCCTTTGCATTGAGCTAATTTTCCAGGTAATGCCAATGCCACTGATCTGGCATTTTTTTTTTTTTTTCTGTCAGAAAGCTTCCACTCTTTGAGAGCCTCTCTTTTGTTTTAGTAATACTCTTTCAGGCAAGTTCATTTTTCTCTTTCTTGAGCAAGGAGCCTTTTGTTTTGTAGCTTTTCACAAATGTTTGGCTATTCTTGGGCAGGTTCTCAGAAAATATTCGAGATTCTTCATGCACTATTTGCTAACGGCATCTTTGTTCACCCTTTGATCTGTATTTTGGATATGTGTAAGGCTTGATTCTGGGAGAGCTAATTTTCTAAATAGGGTGATTCTCTTCATCCTGAGTGTTTCTGATTTCTAAGGACACTACCCACTTTTGCTCACAGACAAATATCTCTGTTGCTATTTGCCTAAATTGTTTTACAGGAGCCTGTTCCATTGCATTTTTTAAGCAGTCTCCTGACTGGTTGCGTCTCTGCTCAGAGAGCAACCACCAGTTTGGGGCTTGAAGTAGTCTTAGAGGCAGTTCTGTATTCTCTAGCTTGTCTCTCCAGTATGATGAAGCTATAGACGCCTTCTTCAGTTTATTCTACCTGCCCCTTTTCTTGGTGGGATTCTTTAAAGTTGCTCTTCCTTTGGGAGAACTCTTTAATTTGACTCAGTTTCTCTACTGATTTCTCTTACATAATTCTTTGTAATTATCAGGTATTAGGATGAGAGAAAGAGCTATGTCAGCATGTGTTCTGTCCTCTTCTTTTAAAATGTATTTATTTATTTATTCTTTAACTTACTCTAGGGTGCATGTGTTTGCTGGAAGGAGAAAGAGAGAGAGAGAGAGAGAGCAAGTGAGTGAGAGAGAGAGAATCCCCCCCTTCCAGGGGGGATGGTCATGCAACAATCCTGTCTCCTCCATTCTCCTCTAGGGATTTTGGGCATGGATTCACTAGCACCCGGTGTGTTTCTAGGCTGCTGGATCTAGGACTTATACCATACAGTCAACCATGTGGAGTTCATCTGCCTTAACCACTATGCCTGTCCTCACTCTTTTTGTTTTTTAAGAACTATTTCATTTAATTAATTTATTTATATTTTTAATTTGATCAGAGAGGGTCAGAGAGAGAAAGAGAGAGAGAAAGTAAGAGAGCAAGCCTTCAGGTCTGGGACTTGAACTGCGTTCGCCATGTGGGAATCCAGTGCCTTTAACCGCCATGCCACCTGCTGGACCCTGTCCTCACTCTTGATCCAGCCTTCCTCATTTTATTTTTACTTATGAGTTTAGTAAATAAAATTATAAACCTCCTCGGCTATTAGTCTAGTATTATGCCATATCCTCAAATATATTTATATTTTGTACAATTCAGAAAACACTTGTTTGCTTAAGGCTCTTCTTTTTTTCCCCCTATGAGGTGTTTGTCATAGGGCGCATGTGCTCACTGGAGAGAGACACAGGAAGATAGAGGGAGGGAAAGTGAAGAATCACCCCCAAGAGAAGATGGCTATGCCTCATTCTCTTGTCTTTTATTCTCCTCTTGGGATTTTGGGTACTCACGCACAAACACCCAGCTTGATTGTCAAGTTGCCAGGTCTGGGACTTGAACCATGATCAGTTATGTGGGAGTCCAGCGTCTTAACTACAATGCCTCCTAAAGGCTTATTTTTGTTTAAACTGCCTTACATGGTTTCCACATATACATAACTACTGGATTTAGGATATCCGATTTGGTTTTTTTTTTTTTTTTTGGAGAGATTTTCACTGTAGGGCGCGTGCGCTCGCCAGACAGACAGAGAGAGACATAGAGACAGAAAGCGAGAAATCACCCCCCAGGGGGGATGGTCACGCCGCAATCCCTTCTCCTCCATTCTCCTCTCGGGATCTTGGGCACGCACAAGTCCAGCGACATAGCCATTACGCTAACTGCTGGTTCCCTATCCAATTTGTTTTAAATAGGGCCTAAGCTAATAGCAATTAGGATAAACTAGAGAAAATGAATATTTGTAACAATAATGGCATTTCCTAAGGACTTCTTATACATCAGGCTTGGGCTAAACACTTTCTATGCGTACTGTTATCTCTGTTCTACAGAGAAGGGTGCTGAAGCACAGAGGGCAGGTAGCTTACCCCAAATCAAGCATGTAGCGAGTAGAGGGCTGATTTGAACTAAGTTATTGTCCAGAATCTGTGCTCTTAAGTGCTGAACTAACGGCCTCCTATGAAGGTCTATTTAATAGATTTTTAAGTCAAATAGCAGTGACATGTGTTATCCTTGGTATTTATGCTAGGATATGTGAAAATATGTAAGTAACATAGAATTAAACCCTCAGCATGTTTTCCTTGCTGTTGAATTGGAATGAAAATAATCATTGTTGCCTTTATTGTCTGATTAAAATGTGATGATTGACATTTTGTTTCCTTTTGATTTAACTACAGGTGATAGTGATACAGACTTACTACAGACAGTGGCATGCTAAAGTTTATGTAGAGAGTTTAAGACAGCAAAAACGGTTGCGGTTGGAATGGGAGGCACAGGAAGAACTAAGGAAGAAAAGAGAAAAAGAAGAATGGATGAAAATGGACTATTACCGAAGGCATAATCCTAAAACAAATGAAGATTTTGAACTTCTTTATAATGCACTAGAACGTAAGTGTAACATACGGTTTTGCATAAAATACTAGTTGCAGGTTTTTTTTTTTTTTCATGAATAGGAAAAACAGGTTTACTGAAGATAAAAGAAAACTTTATTATTTGAAGAAGTCTTGGCAATCCAGATGAGAGAATTTAGAAAGATGAATAATAGCTTACGTTTGGGACAGGAATTAAGGCTCAAGTGAAATTGGAATGCTTTTTTTATATTAGTAATTAATAAGTGCATACCGCTCTGTGAATTACGCAGTGTCGGTACATTATTTCATTTGATCTTCATCCATGTGAGATAAAGAAAGTACTGTCTAATCCGGTTTTCTGATGATTTTGGAAGTTTGTGAATTCAGAGTTGAGCTGTTCTTTAATCTCAATCCAACATCCTGTCTGATTTTCCTCTGTAGAAGAAGAACTTGGCAATACCTTTTAAGCTCCTCTTTATTGATAATAATATATACATGCAGATTTTCCACATATGGACTTTTATTCCTTATTCCTTCCACAGTATGTATACTAGTCGTTGATAAATTAAAAGCTAATTACTTGAACAAGTCAAGCAATCTTTATTCAAGGCAGTTGATACACTGCTCTCCTTGTGGCCCTTTCCCTGTTGTCTTCCTTCTTATCTCAAGTTAAATGTCATCAACTCAAAAATGTTTAGGTTGATGGTAAAACTTGGGTCATCTGCTGTCTTTTTATGTTGCTCATTATACCCCAAACTTTATGTGGCAACAATTTGTAATAATACATCTTTTGTTTAACATTTATTTCCACCACTGAATTGCATGAGGAAGTTATTCATGTATTTTCTGACAGTCTCTCTATTCTTCTGCTTCGCTTACATGCCCAATGTTGGTGAAATAAATGAATGAATGAAACCAGGAATGTCGTAATGCAGCTCTCTCTAGGTACTGCTTTGCCAGCAGCACCTATTGGCATTCACGGCAATAACTGGGACTGAAGAGTTATTCACTACACTAGCTGTCTAAGAGTAGAGAAACCGGGCTCTTGTGAAGACATGGATGAATTTTCAAAATTAAAAATAGCTTCTAAAAGTATGTTTTAGTTGAACAGGATCATTTTATTAAAGAAAATATGTCTCAGACTTCTCTATGATGACTATTCGTAACATCAGCTTAAAACCAATTCTCTTACATTACTTTGTTTCTTTATATTTTTGGAAGATGTTAAATGTTCTATTACTGAAGTCACAGTTTTCTAGTTGGAAACATTTTTAGGCATCACATGTCGGGTCTATTTAAGCAGCCATAAGATAAAATGCTATCTATTAAAACATTATAATTAAACAACAAACAATATTAATAAATGTATCTCTTTGACAATGCACAGAATTCAGTGGCTTTAGGAATGGTTACAACTTTACATAGCAGTGTTGGAGGTAGCTACTGAGCTTGCTCATTAGCCTCCCACTTCTGTTTCACCCTTTCTCCTAAACGTTACTCTCTGAAATACTGTTTGGTTTACTTTAGAGTTCACCTCTACTTCCATCTGCTGCTGTCAGATAACAAAGTTTATCAGTAGGGAGCATTGTTGGTCAGTTGTCTGTGAAAGGTGTTATTGACAAGTAAAGTGCTATTACAGTACTGCTCTATTAAAATAATATTCCAAATTCACATATGAATAAATTAAAGGACACTATTGTTATTTTTGTTTGGCTAACAGGCATCTGTACTAAATAATAGAAGATATATTATATGAGGTTCTGCCTTTTCTGCTTATTTGCGATGTTAACTTGGACAAGTTACTCACTTCTCTTAAGCTCCAGTCTCCTATGAAAGAACTTAGCAATTTTTTTGCACATCTACTTCAGAGGGCCTTTATAAAGTGAAAAGGAGTATTACATTTATGAAAGTACATAGAAAAGTGCACAGTTCTATACATATGCAGGTTACTGTTCTATGGTAAATTATTTTGTACATAATTTAATAAAACATATTTTATGTAAGTCCATATGTACTAGGTATGAAGGAAAGCAGAATGAAACATGAAATTTCTTACACAAAGGGGAAATATCAGTTAATTTTAGTCCTAAATTTTAAATGAAAACACTTAGAATAAAAATTTTAAGTTCGATTTCACAGTAATTAGAAATTTCTTATTTACAAGCTCAAAAATTAAGATTGCTCTTCTTTTAAGTTTTCTTCATGCTATCACTCTAGTCCTGGGAACTGCTGCCCTCTAGTGGTTCAGAGTGACTACTAGAATCCCTAGTGTATTGCTGGTGTCCTTTGACCTCTTCATTCATAATAGGAAGCTTATTTTCTTCCTCAGGATAACCTGCCCTTCAGTAATTCAATCAAGTGAAATAACTTAAAGAAAATAAAATTAACTGTATAAGCTAATATACAAAGAGTATCTCTAGACTATTTCTGGGCAGTAATGTTTGATTTTTGTCTTTTTAAAAAATTATTATAATGGCATGTTGGGGAAAACTATTTTTGTTGATCTGAATTGTCTATAGTTGAAAAAAAAAAACAGGTGATAAGTATCTCTGTATTGTAAAAGGATCCTGAAATAAAGAGTTGTTTTTGCCTATTTAAAAGTTGTATATATATAGAATTATACAAAATGAAAATTTTTTGTGTGTTGGACTTATAAAAATTTACTATTATACCTTGTGACTCAGCCATACTATTGCATGTAGTTACAGTCTGTCTGTTCTAATTCCTATGTGGTATGTAATGTATTCATTTTTCTATGGATTTGTATAGCTACAAGCATCCTTTAGTCTCTCTATATATACATATGTTTCTCTTGTGTATAAACCCAGGATTGGAGTTGCTAGTTCAGAGCATATGCATATGTTCAATGTTTTTGTTTTTGTTTTTTGTTTTGGAGAGGTTTTTGCTATAGGGCGTGTGCACTCACCAGAAAGACAGAGAGAGACAGAGAGACAGAATGTGAGAAATCATCCCCCGGAGGAGATGGCCATGCCAGAATCCCTTCTCCATTCTCCTCTCAGGATCTTGGGCATGCACACATGCACATGCGCCTGGTGTGAGTTTAAGCCTCCCGGTCCTGGACTCGAACTACGGCCGACTACATGGGAGTCCAGCAACATAGCCATTATGCCAACTGCTGGTCCCTGCATATGTTCAATGTTAAAGGATCCTGCTAGATCGTTTTTCAGAGGCTGTACCAGTTTATATTCTTACAGGAGCATATGTGAGTTTTATTGTTCCATCATCCTCTCCAGTATTGGCTACATCGCTTTTTCATTTTAATCACGCTGGAGGGTGTTCGGTACCATTACTATATCTTAGTTTTGAGATTCCATTAGGTGAGATGTCAGGATCCCAGGGTCAGCATGAGACAACCTTTCTCTCTCATAAAGAATTTGTGAAGGAAATGAAATGGGACCTATTTACTGACTCATGAATTACTTGGGAAGATCAAAGATATAAAAATGGGTAGGAGAGATGACTTGAAGAGGCCAGTGAAGTGATTTCATTGGAGTCACTGCTATGCTTTGGGGTGGTGGTGGGGGATTGTGCTGTTTTCTAGCTAAGTGCCTAGTGAGAGAAAGTTCAAGGGAGCCCTCTTGGAGAACTTTGAAAGGTGTTACCTGTGCTGGGGGAACACAGAGGACTGGCTCCATGATGATAGACCAGGGTCTTGCTCCAACCGGAGACCTACAGAATTCGAAGAGGGCTAACAGGCTACTTTGATATTGGAAATGCTGAGATCTATAGCACTCCTTGGATTTTTTGAGCAGAGATATATGTTTGTCTTCTATCAAAAAGGGACTATACAGTAGAGAGAGCAAGAGTGAGCATACAACAGGTGATCTGATCTCTTGAGACTTCTTCTGTAGAGCCAACTGGAGAAATGAGATGACCTTATCTCACACACACACACAAGCTTAAAGTGAACAGGTAGATCACCCATGTTTTATTTTGTCAAATATATGTTGTGTATCTTTCACTATTGAACGAAAGAGAGAGATACAGAGACAGACAACAGCATATCCAAAAGAGTCTAGCCTCTGAAACCGCCCCTAGCCCCAGTCAGCCCAGATCATGTACTTGATAGTCGGGGAGGTTTCTGCACCTGAACACAGAACCTTCCCATGTGGGTCAGCATTGCAGAACATTGGGTTTTATTGTTGCACCACTGTCTAGCCCTCTTAGTTCTTTTTAATTGCTGCTTAATATAAATATTACCACAATTTATTTATCCATTCCCTAGTTGGTAAAAGATACTTTCAATTTTTTGGCTTTTATGACTAAAACTGTGATTAGTATTTCTTGTATGTCTTTTGGTGAATATATGTGTTCTTTGAATACTTTCAAACACCACATTGCAAACAAATTTTCTGGAACATTTTCCTGGTTCATTTAGAATTCCTGTAGGACTTTAGGTGAGGTAATTTCCCTTAGATAAGCCTCTGGTTGCCTTTTCTTGGTCTGTGGGTGTTTTACTGCACTTGAAGTAGTCTCAGAATTTCCTGACTCTTTGTGTGTCCTGGAGGGACTAGGAATTGAGTTTCTTTTTTCCCCTTTCTTCTCTTCCCTTTTAAAAAAATTTGTCAGAGGGCATAGTTGAGTACACACACACACACACACACACAC